AATCAGAAACTCCTTTCTGACCCCTCCCACCCTCAGGGAGGGGCTACAGGTCTTTGACCACTAAAACAACCTGCTTTAAGAATCTGCTGCTAGAAGGACTCTGAACCTCCACCTATTTCTCATCTCTAATCCTGCTGCTGAGTCTGTGCGCAGCTATTTCACCAACTCTGCTCGTGTGGTCTTTAAAGTGAAGTGAAGACATTTCAGTCTGAACCAAAGTGTGGACTGACTGATCCTGAAAAGTAAAGCCTGCAGCGATGATGAGGGTGAAAAGAGTAAATGTGTGCAGAGACAGAAAGGGAGAGAGAAATAAATGAAGGCAGGAGGAGAAAGAAGAAGCGAAATGAGGGAAAGAGCGAAGAGACTGTGAAATATTCTGTTCATGTAGGTCACCTATCACTGTTCACACTCCTCTATCAGACACATGCAGCAAAGGGCATCACTTAGAGTATCAGAACATTTTAAAGGCCTGATGTGAAGTTACCAGAATAAGAAATGTAAACGCTTCCCTGAAAAGAAGCAATTCTAAAAGGTAGTAAAAGGTGGTACAGGACATTTATTTATATGAAAATGTCATGATTTATTATCAGGGAGTTCAGCAGGGACAGCGTGTGCATTTCTGTTTTATTCCCGCCACATGCATTAAAACGCTCAGGTGTAATTTCAATGCCATCAGTAAAAACATGGACTATGCAACAAACACCACAGAAGCGTTCTTCACAATCACGTAGACTGGAGGAGGCATCTGATGGTTCTTGGCTGACGAGGACTAACGGGGAGACCCGACACTGACAGCGTGAATAAACAGAGCTATAGTTAGTTCAGAGAGTTCAAAACGCTCAGAAGGCGAGCAGCTGTGTTCTTCACTGGACAAGTGACATCCTGCTCGCAGTCTGTCTCACATGCTGCTGACTTTGGGTTCTTGGATTTGATCATCACCTCTGCTCTAGATGCTCTAGATCATGTTGTGTCTTATCTAAGTTTGCTGACGACTGCTGTCTCACTGTATTACCCTCTCATTGTCTTTTCTACACACAATATATTTCCCTCACTCCTTTTTAAGGAGACGTTTCTCATCCACCTGTTTTATGCACATTTTCAATTTCTGCATGAAAAATTCTGAGTGTAAACAAAACCCCTCTAGTAAAGAGGAGAAAACATCAGGTCTGTGTGGAGCCCTGATGAGGAGACTGGAACCTTCCTCACATTAATACATGTTTTCTACATGGATTTTCCACCATTTGAGCTCTGACTGGAGCTCTTCTATTGATCATCTTCTTATGCAGTGGTTTAATGGCAGCGACTGGAGAATCAGCTTCACCAGCTGTTTATCTCCATCAACCCAGTCAACTCATATTCACACAGCAGCAGTGGAGGGAAACAAGACTTCACTCATCTTTTACTTTGATGACTCTAGAAATACTGCTCATATTTGTGATGCATTTAGATGAAAACCTGACTGATGGCTCTGGAGTTGTTAAATATAAGCAATGTGCTTATAACTGTCACTCAAGTGTCAGATAAATACAGAGCTGCTTTTCTCTACGACAAACAGAAAACAGTCTCTGCATGGACGAGATCTGCAGTCTGCGTAGCTGTGACCTGCACTATAAGGACTCACCACAACCTTGCATTTGCATAATAGCCTCTCGTATACAGTACACTGTGGCTGTATGAGGCTGTGGACGAAGCCAGTGGGTTGGTAAATTGAATCAGGAAAGTATCGGTGATGGATGCTGTTCCTGATCACAGCAGTGTCCTGGTTTATGTCAGTGAGGAGCTAATGTTGGACTTTTTTTTTCTCTTTGGAAAACTTTTAAAACGATCAACATTCAGCCTTGGTTCCAGTTATTGTATACTAAATTAATACTTTTTTCTGCCTGTTATCTAACAGTCAGGCCACAGACTTAGCTCAGATGTCCTTCACAGTTATGCCCTCCAACGTTTTCCCCTGGCTGGTTGGGATATGTCTGTTCAGCCTTGGGTACTCTTCCCTGTGAGACATGCCCTGAAAACTTCCACAGGGAGACATCTGACTCAGTCAGCATGAAAGGGCAGCAACTGTTCTCCAGACCCGCGTCTAAAGACTTGGTGTTGTGGTTTAATATCAGCTCTCCTATTTGAGGACAACTCGAAATCGAAATCTATGCCTCACTTAACTGGTGAAATGTTCCTTTTCACACCCCATTAGATTCCCATTACAAGATGTGGTCTGTTTATCACAAATCAGCATGTTTTGCTTCAGGTGCGATCTCTGTCTGTTCATCTTCAAGATGTAAAATTAAAAGCCTCACTAACTCTTCAGAAAATAAAGAAGGAGAGGAAAGAAGAGACAGGGCGAGCATAAAAAGTGAAACTAAATGGAAACTGAAACTTTGCTTCATTACATCATTGCAAATAATAAATAAAAATATACAGATAAAACAGGCACAGCACATCACAGATTTCATGTCCTGCTGAAATGTCCACAGCTACAGAATCAGTATCATTCTCTCCAGAGCCAGTGGTATTGCCGAGAGCAGTGGGGTGTTGGTCACCTCACAGCTGGTGATCCTCCAAGGCGATGCCAGTTGTGGACTCTACCCACCTGCCTCTGGGACAGGAATAGCCCCGTTGGATCGGCGAGTGGCCCCTCAAAGGTCCGATGATGCTTCAACAGAACTCCTTGTTGGATGATTAAACAGCTACAGAAACAGTGATTTGTCAGATGCGTGCAAGTGGGAAAATAAGAAGAGTTTGAACTTCGTCCTCAGTTATTTTGCTATATCTGCTATTTTTTTGTCACTTTTCACGTGAACAACTGAGGTCGACGCCGTGAATGGCCGTCCAGGGGAGACTGTGTGTGGAAGTTCACTACAGATAGAAAACCTTTCACCTTCAGACGTGGTTTGACAAGATGTACAAACTAGTGACATGACAACTCAGAGCACAGGGTCGTGAGCTTTCTTTAGCTTCACAAGGTGCATGTTGAGTGGAGTGAATGGACAAAGTCTCTTGAGCTGTCTTTTTCCTGTGGGAGGAGTGAAGAGTTGATCCTCTGTTCCATCTTCCCATCATGAGTCAGGGAGGTTAAGTGGAGCCTTCTAGCTACATCACTGACCTCAGAGAAAGGCAGTGAGAGAGGCAGCGACTCCCACAACTCCCTCATCCCCACTTCTTCCACTGAGGTCATAAAGTGCGCTCTTTACACTGGTCATTCCACTTCCTGTGCTTCTAGCTGGTTGAAGGTTAGCATATTCACTCCTCTGCTGAAGACAGCCTGGGAAAAACTCTGTCTTACATGTCCAGTTGAGGAGACCCCCTTTGAGTGCAGCTGCAATTTTTTCTTCATGTTTTGTCCACCAACTCTACCCACACCAGAAATTTTGCTTTGGTGTGGAGCCTGAAGCATCGAAGCCGAGCCCCCGAAAAGCCCCTGCTGAAGCCTGCAGCTTCTTCCACAATGAGTAACTACAGCCTAATGCATGTTCCAGCTCTGACAAGTCACTCTCATTCATTCATTCTTCATACTGCTTACCCTTCTAGTGTCGCCCGGGGGCTGGACTCAATCCCAGCTGACATTGCTGCTGCTACTGACATAGCTGGGCAGGCCTGACAGGTCGCCAGTCTATCACAGGGGGAACATGTAGAGACCAACAACCATTCACAGTCACTCCCACAGGCAATTTAGACCTAGAACCTAGGTGGATTTGCTTGAATTACTTTTAGTATTTAGGCCAGGGGTTCTCAACCTTTTTTGGCTCTAGAGACCAGTAATCAGTCGGTTCTCAAGACCAGACTTGAACCTTCCTGCTGTGTGGCTCTAGTGCTAACCACTGCACCACCGTGCTGCTGTCTGAAAAGTCGATTCTAGTATTTAGGCCAGAGGTTCTCAACCTTTTTGGATCTAGAGACCAACAACCAAGTCAAGACCAGTCTTCAGGACTCGTGGGGTGGATGAGTGGGTAAATCTTTTGGCAATCATTAAATTAAATTAAGTTAAATGGTGTGTGATCCCTGGGTGTGTCTAGATTCTTCTATACAGTCTGACTGCAGCTGTAGGAAATGTCCTATATTTGTCTCAGTGTACGACAAGGATGCTATTCTGAGCAGAATCAGATACGCTACGTGAAATGAATAATGATTGTTGGATTATTTGCATTTCTTTGTGGCTGGCTTAGATAACAGTGACATACTTGTTTCTTTCACCTTTGTCTTTGTGGTTTATATTTGGTGCTTCGGCTGTAACAGGATCTCTGAATCGGAGCACAGTGTTTCCCAGATGTCATTCATAGTCTCCCTGACTTGCACAAGTCCAGTATCAGACCTCAGATCAGCTTACACAGCAGTGATTACAGCAGCGCTCTATACTGGGTCAGCTTTCTAGATAAGGATCACAAAGTCCGGTTTTATTGGTTTATTTGGACTTTAAAAGCAAGATTTGGCCAAACTTGATTAAAACTAGATCAACCCAATAAAGACACGTCAAGAGGAGGAACAAGATAAGTTTGTGAAAGACCACACAGAGCTGCTAGCATGGCTGGAGACTCATGGTCTGGTTATATTTCATTTTCAAGCAGCAGAGTGGTAGAATAAACCTAAGAAAAAATCCCATTAAATAGGCTCTGATGAATGAATGGTAAATCTGAGAATTTCAGAACTAAAATAATCAGATCTTGCTCTAACAGCTAACCACTAGCATGTCTGCACATCCTACAAAACTTCCCACATTCTTCACTGATAAACATTTAAATCAGCGTTGTAAAGCTGTCATTTGAAGAAAATATGGTACTTGCACAGTGTGTAAATGTTTTGTGTGGTCAGGGTTGGTTAGCAAAGTATGACAGGACAGAAAGTAACAGCAATTAGCCTTTATCAAGGTAAATTAAATTTGTTTTCTGCAGTGCGTCCGACTAGGTTTGTCCTGGTCTGAAGAGAAGCTGCCATAAAAAACACAGCATGTAGACTTTTCATAATCCTGTATATTAATGTGTGTGTGTGTTTCCGTTTCCTCCCAACAGACACAGACTACATCAGCGAGGAGGAAAAACAGAAGGTGGAGCTGATGTTGGCGTTTCTCACAGAGGAGTCCAAACAGGCTGCAGCCAGCACAGCTGTAAGTACAACTGCATGTGTGAGCAAACATCAGCACATCCTCCTCCTGCTGTCTCATGATAGCAAAACAAACTGTTGTTGCGTTTAATGCGAGTGTTAAGACTCATTCAGCAGTGCCTTGTTACTGCTTCTCATATCCTGAATGTGTTTTAAACTCAGGGTTTAACTGTGGCAGTAAAAGCGGGGTGTGTTTTATGTTTGTCTTGACAGATTTGGAAAATTATAATAACTCAAGTTTCAGACTGTTATTGTGCTGTCACTCACTCGGTTAGTATGCAGCACAAAGTAGATAAATCTCCAACCCATCATTAGCATAGAGTACAAAACAAAGAGTTGTTTTCAGAGGAGCTCAGGCAGGAACTCTTCAGTATTTAACTGTCTCAGAGAAGCTGATATTGTGGGAGGCAGCACCGCTCTACAAAGGCGCAGAGCAAGAATAGCAAAGTTAAAAAAAAGGGTTTAAAGTTTTCAGGTTGGCTGTTTGTAACGCCTTTATTTTGATGCCTTTCTAGTTTTATTATTCAACCCTAAAGATTACTGGCAAAGACCAGGCTCATGGTGTCACATAGTATGTAGTCCTGAGCTGTGACCTTTTTAATTTTATGAGTGACCTTTACACACTTGACTCTGCAGTGAGATGATTTTATCCTTATTAAATATCACTCAGCAGTAAATGTGTCTCCTAATGGGAACAGTGGCGCCTCGGACTGAGGAGCTGCTGTCAGATCAAGTCTTACAAACTTGGGTTCAAAGTTTTCAGATTAGTGAGATCTACTAAATGTTAATTGTATAATGACAGGGGTCATATACATGAAGGTGTCGTCCTGTACCATGCCTGATGCATAAAGAGTGCAGGTACTGAGCTCTGCCTTTGGCTCATCTTCACTAAGTGACACCAGAGAAAGTCCAGTATCTATGAACAAAATTTGTTCTTTCTGCCTAACTGGACTTAGTTTAGGTTAAAGTTGACTTGGCATGCCGGGTGTTCTTAAAGTCTGGTACTGTGGTAGCTGTGGGTTAACACTTGAGCACTGTTTTTCAGCCTATATCTCCTCACATGTCGTCAAACTGTCCCATTAAAAGTAGCTGAATCAGCTGTGATCAGCTCCTGTTTGCAGTGCAGCCATGGATGTTCAGGCAACTCTCACTGGATTACTGTTATACTGAAGAAAACTTAAAAACATGAAGACGTGGATTTCTGGAGGTTTATTGTGTTTAGACATCAGAGATGAGGATATCCACAGAAAGTGGAAGTCACGCTGAATCATATCAACATGTGTTTCATGTCTTTGTGTCGAGACTGAACAGTCTGACTCAGTCAGGACTCTGAGAAGGAGGACGATAAGAGGGTTTGATAAATCTGACACTCGTACCAACAAACCTCACAGAGGACAGTCAGAAGTTTAGGAGAAGAGATCAAAAATTGTTCTTTCATGAGACCCGATTGAAGTCAGCAGTTTGGACAAACTGATCCTGTTGCCCTTGAGGGTGAAGCTGGTCAGGAGAAACCCATTTCCTCCGCCTGTCCGTCCTGCTCTTCCTCTCCGCAGCGGCAACCCGATCCTTTACTCTCCCCTGTCGACTCCACCACAAAGCTAAACTGGCCAGAGAGAAGATTTATTATTGATAAAGGGAAGGAGGAGGGAAAAGGAGAAGGAGCGAGGAGTGAGGGAGGGAGGAGATGGAGGAGAGATTTATAAATCATATTTTTGCTTTGTCACGCTTCAAGAATCAGTATTTCAAACTTCTGCGACAGTAATATCAGAGGCGATGTAATGGACAATAGATTCTGTGCATTTCATTAGACTCTGGGAGGAAATACTGTAGAAAGAGATGAAAGGAAAGAAAATAAAACACAGTCAGAGCCTGAGCTGTATTTCTACAAAGTCACTAATGGTCCTCTGCAGAGAGGGGAGGCTCTCTGCTCTCTGCTCTCACTCTAATGTACGGTTTTGCCACATGATTGGAAATTATTCTCCAGTCCAGTCACTCTGACTCAGAAGTGGTACATGTCTTTGAGCTAGCAGTGATTTTTAGTCTTGAATAGACGCCGGTGAATTTTGTTTTTGGTTTTTCACTCCATCTACTGTGTGTGTGTGTGCCATTGGTGTGTGTGTGTGTGTGTGTGTGTGTGTGTGTGTGTGTGTGTGTGTGTGTGTGTGTGTGTGTGTGTGTGTGTGTGTGTGTGTGTTAAAGCTAGAAGTTCAGTCCTCTGCTCTTAAGCCTGGCGTGGGCCAATCATTAAATCTCTAGAGCACATGCTTCACTCAGATATGTTTACCTGCAGGTTCCTTTTATTCTCTAATGTAGTATGTTTATGTTTTTTTTTATTTGTTTTTATCTCCGTTTCAAACCTCAGTGGAGTTGAATCAACCAATCAGCTTTGCTCGATTCTCAGGCTCACAACAACAGCGACGCTACGACAAGTTCAAATTCAGCTGTGATTCTCACAGAGAGCCGTGTCGTGACCTCCAGTATCTTTCCCATCAGACTTCACTTCATGAAGTCGTGAATGTAAAGTTAAGTCCCAGACGAACGGCGTCCTCCAGGCGCTGAGCAGTGAAATGTGCCGGAGCTGGGCCGACATCGTCTGGTATCAGCTCACTGCAGATATTCTAGTCTCTGTGTATGTGTTGGCTGATCAGTAACAGTAAATGTCAAACTATGATTCAGATCATTTAACAACAGTGTCTCCATTACAGAGTGTCTCCACCAGAGAACAGTGACTAATCTGAGGGCTCGGTTTCAGACTGTTTGCTTATGTTATGTGCTTATGTTATCACATTTTTTAAACTCTCAAATATCGACATCGCTGTCAAACTTCCAGATACCTGTCATGCTCTAATAGCTATCTTTTCTGCAGCCCTGTAGTGTGGCGGTGTGTGGTTATTTGTGTTGTTGTTGTGTTAGGCTATTATACTGATGTGTGCGATTTTTCTGTATGTGTACATGTACAGTTTAATGTGGACGCCTCTGTGGTTGCGTCTGTTGTTTCCGTTGTTGCACATGGTTACCTGGGAGTGTCATCAACCTGCTCTTTAACATAAAAGTTAAATACCAGCGATTTAATAAGTGCGGCAATATTTACCTTGTTTGTGCAAAACTACAGTCTTTAATGGTCTCAAATTATTGGGTAACACAACGTGACTTCTGACCACACCACTGGGTTCTACAGGTGCACTGGTGTCAGAACCACTGCAGCTGATCATACAGCAGACAGAGAGGCATTTTGGGAAGTGTGGAGAGTTTGTAGGGGTCTTTGATCATTTCGAGCCCACGTGATATTTTGATGTGAATCTGAAGGTGCTGTTTAGAGGCAGAGTCAGACGGAGACCGAGCGGATCACATTTAATAGTTTGTTTATCTGAAACCATACAGCTGTGTTTTACCCAGAACAATCTCCAGGACCTTTTATGTCTTATGTAACCCAAACTTTTTATCTGATTGTTAAACATTTATTAGGGGAACTACAAGAGTTCTTGTATTTTTTATGGCAATCCATCGTCCTTTTCTCATGAGGGGGGGAGGGGGGATTTGAGGGATCCTTTTTTGGGAAGAGATGGACAGTAACACTGCTGTTTGGATGTGTAGGTTTCACTTCTTCAAAGGACTGTTTGAAGGTTCAGGCTTCGTTTTAAAGTTAAGGTTAGAATTACATTTAGCTGAAGGTTATGGGTTATTTCAGTGAGGATCCTCACAAGTATAGAAACACAAATTGTGGCATCACTGGGTAAGATCCATGGCAACAAGGGCCCCCCAGGGCACTTCTTGGGTGCTATTTTACTCTCAAATTACTCTTTTCCTTTGCTCTTTCTCTTCTTTCCCTCAATCAGTATGTGTCCCACCCCCCCAAGCCTCCTGGGAGACCCTCTTCTGTAACTACCCTGCATCCAGCCCAGGGGTTCTGCGGTTCAGTGTTTGACTTTTAAAGGCCTTTTTTCTGCAGAAAATATAATCCAGTACCTTTTCATTGCTGGTTATGTCTTTTATTTTTGTCAGAACCCCTCAGCTGTATATAACAATAACTCATAGCGAGACCTAGACCCATGTATGAATTTCTGAACAGACTTGAGGGGCCTGTGCCTCTGTGTGAAATGCTTGTCGGTATTTCTCATCTGAAAGTCACAGAGCTCAGCTGCAAACTTATTATTCTTGCTCAACTGTTTTGCACATGAAGACCTTAAAAAAAAAATTCACTTTTAATCATGAAAAAATAATCAAGATTCAACACAGCCATCCAGACCCACGCTTGCTTTTCTTTTTAAGCCCTCAGCTCAGAGATAGAAACCCAGAGTGAAGGGATGAGCAGTAGAAAGAGAGTCGGGGTCTGAGCTGGTCCTGGTTCAGTATCTGTCCCCTCGGACGGGACTGATTCCTGCAGATGCCACCTACAGCCGCCGGCGTGTTCTTAAATCATTAGACTGTTTGAAAAGCTGTCAGGTTGGTTAAGTGTTGGTAGCTCGTTTCTCTGAATCTTTCCATACACAATTATCACCTTCTCACACACACACACACACACACACACAGAGCGTGCAGAGATACACTGCGCAGCTTCACAAATGTAAACATACCACTTTTTTTTTGTTTGCTTATGTTCGCCACGACAACAGCTTGGGATGTCAGGGCAACCAGATCCACAGCGCCGGGGTGTTAAAGATCCAATGATTATCCTCTAAATGGATGGGGGACGAGGAGGAGGAGAAAGACGAGAGGAGAGACAATGAATGCAACGGATAAACAGGAAGAGAGACGGGGAGAGAGAGAGTGATGTGTGTTAATGTGTGTGAGACAGGAGCTGCTGTCTGATGACTACCGATGTGTTGACCTTTGTGTTAAACCCGCTGAGCTTTACAGCTGAGAGGTGTGGACTCCATGTTCCACCTGATCAGTTTACTGGACATGATTTATTATTCAAATTTAATTTAAAATGTGGTGGTTCAGTTAAGATGAAACAGTGACACCTCAACACCTTGCTACAGCAGTCGAACCCTTTCTGACCTG